CTGCTCCAAATTTCGTGTTTCCCAGTTTTTATACATTCCCCCCCCCCCCCATTGTACTAAGTGGGAGATTCTTCTAAGTTATATGATGGAATCCAAAAGAAATACTTATCAGACCCGTCATCAGATAAATAAATGAAAGCAGTGGGACACTACAGAGCGTCATTTCAGTCTGCCCGGGGCTGCTGATGTCACATCCAAGATGGCGGCGCCCAGCAGCAGTCTCTGGCCTGTTCAGGATTGTAATATAATCCATAATTAGAGGGAGATGAAATGTATACGGCATGTCACATTACCTTGCCGTATACATCAGATGGAAAGATTGCTGTGATATTAATCATGTGGAGACGGGATCTCTTTAATTTGGTAGTTTTTCTGATTCCATTGTTCTGTAGACTGAAGGCGTGTCAGACTTCTTTGCATGTACTGCTCCTATCCTGGGGACGCTGCAAAAATGAAATATGGTAGAAAAATACTTTATTTCTGAAGGGATTCAGCTGTAAATTTGTGAAAAGTTTATAGAGGCGCCTAGATTGTCTTGTCTTGTGCTAGAAACGGCCACACGAGGGCAGCAGACTCTCCTCCCTCCCCTAACATTGTGACCTCTCAATACATTGAGCCTAAAGCACAGCAGATGTGTTACTGATGACGGTACAACAGTGCCCTCTGCTGGCCGATAAACAATTATACTTCTTCTACTGACCATCTACAACTCGTCTGCCCTGAGCAGATCGCGGTGCGAGTGCAGCAGGTAAATCACAGTGAGTCTCGGGGGTTGAGATGCTAGGCTTGCTGATTTATGTTTTTTGTTACGTTCCGGGTTGGAATCCCTGTGCCGGCGTTAGCTGATTTCTTGTGTGTTGTGATCAGAGTTGATGATGGTGCAAAGAGACTTTATTCCTAACACCCAGATGCCAGGCACAAGCAGCCAAGAGATGGGCCTAGTATAGACGTTGGATCACTTGTTCTTAGTCTTCTGGAGTCTTCCCCTTGTGGGCCACAGTAGCATCTGGAGATATATAGATGAATGGAGGTCAGAGGAAGCTGCTTCGGTGGCCTACAAGAGACTCAATTCTATGTATATACATTTTTATTTCATGTTTCTGGAACAGGAGAAGGAACACACCAATGTTTGGGGGAGGGGGTAGATGGTAGGTTTAGAGTATACTCTGAATACTGGAGACAATGTAAAGTACAGTCACAGTTCAGTGAAATACTTATCATTTTTTTTAATGGCGTAGATTCGGCATCGTGAAATAGAAGAACGAGCACTTCAATGCCAGAGCTGAGGCGGTGGCTCAGAGGATAGGAGCTCTGACTCGTGTGCTGGAGACCTGGGTTCGAATCCGTCTGAGGGAAGGACTTGTGTCTCCTGGGTGCTGTGCAGTACCTGAGCCCCCTAGTGGTGGGGCAGAGCAGTGGGAATTATTTCAGACCCATTACTCTGTCCCACCACTAGGGGGTTCAGATACTGCACAGCACCTGGGAGGTGACTCGGATATATATATATATAAACTCAGGGGTCTACAGCACTTTCATGGATTTGCACTTGAGGTTTGCAGCGCTCTCATTGGTTGGCCCTGGGGGGGGGGTCTACAGCGCTTGTGTGGATTTGAACTTGGGTCTATGGCACTCTGGGTCAACGCTCTTATCCACTGAGCTACTCGCCTCTGCTCAGCAACTCACGTGTTCATTCTCCTAGTTCAGGAGTAAAAAGTTCTCACAATTCCACATAGATCAATCTAGATTCGAACCTGCGACTCCAAAATCTCTGCTGGGTTACGGGCAGTCTGCTAAACCTCTGGGCCAGCTGGCCCATTGGATCTGATGGCGATATATCCGGACTTAGTAAGTGAGACGTGATCAGCGACTCCAACAAATTCAAATAGAGGAACCGAGATCCGAACCTGCGACTCCGAAAATTCATCCCCCCCGCTGGCTGGCTGCTAAACCCCTACGCCAGAGACAAGCTCTGGCTTGGGGTTTAGCAGCCAGCCCCTTGAACATCCAGACTCAGGAAATCAGGACTTAGTAAATAAAATGCAATCATTTCCAGAAATTCAAATGATCTGAGATATTTCTCCGACAATATTCATAACGAGCTCCTACACAAGGGGTTAAAAAGTGGCACAGAATATTTTTCCTTATTTGTAGATGTGTCTCTGGGGTTCAGCAGCCGGCTCTCTATGTATCAGGACTTAGTACATAAAATGTGACCTCTGACCTCGAATATTCATTGTCCTCAGTCATTGCTCTTAATGGTTATTGTCTGCTGGTTGTGCAATGTATATTTGTTGGGGTTCAGCAGCCTTGAACATCAGGACTTAGAAAATAAAATGTGAATTCCGCAAATTCCGATGAACTCATCCGCAGAGCTCCTCCCCTCCGCCTCACAACTCACGTCTACAGTCCCCTATTTCAGGAGTACCTGCAACCGTGACATCTGTGTTGGGGCCAATGACTGGCAGCCGGACTCTTCAGAGGAGTGGCGTCTTCTCTCTTGATATAGATTGAATTCAATGATCCAATCACGATTATTATTTCCATCTGCATGGAAAGATCACAGTAGGTGGGAGTTCCGAGTTCCGCTTCAATGAAGCCTGAGGACATCATATGAATGCAGGGCATGCTGGAACTGC